TGAATACTGAAACGCAGGTGTTGATCTTCTGTAGAGGCTCCGTAGTCTCAGCCTGAAATCCTATCGTTCCTATGAAGGCTCTCCCCTGCGAAAATACACCTTTTCTCAAGGAATGGCTCCTTTTCTTTTCCCCTTCTCTGTTATTACATATTCATTGAACTCCTCTAATGAGCCAATCTTTGCAGCCTAAAATATCTTTCTTCCTGTCTAGTTACCATGCAATCTATCCGCCTCCCGAAGCCCCCCCCCCCTGCTTCCCTCCCTCACCATGCCGATGAGGAGGTTGGTGATCTCCCTGAAGAGCGTGACGATGCGGTCCGGCTTGCGGTAGTCGGGGCAGTGCGCCCACAGGAGGCAGATGCAGTGCACGAGCGGCGGGATGAGCGGCGGCGCCTCCTGGAACTCCATCGACTCCATCTCCTCCAGCATGGGCTTGAGGGGCGTCAGGTGGATCATGATGTCACGCGCCTCGTGCACGGCTGGCGAAGGAAGGGACTCGGTGAGCGGAGGCGGTTTTCTTACTTTCGATTATGTTCAAAATTTGATTTTGAAAATATGCAATCATCAACGTACAAATACTCACATATGTTAGGTTGAAAATGTTATCTATTCTAGAAACACGCACACTCACACGGCGAACACATACGAACACACACATACACGACCTTATTCACGATATATTACCCATGTTAACGTCTGCACACATCTTGACAAAGGCTGGATAGTAAGCTGATTCTGTCACCTCTAAGATATTGGACATCATCATGACCTTGAAAGACAGGTGTTAAGTTACGACTAGTTTGTTCTCTTGCTCATGAATCGAAAGTCCAACGCTTTTTAAGCCAGACACAGTCATTGATTTCGAAGTTTGCATGTTATCTAACTATGCAAATGACTACGCCATTAAGAGTTGTAACCTCTTACCTTCTTATCTTTGAGTTGCCTTGCGATATGGCTGAAGTTCTCTCGCCGTTTGCTCCAGAAGGTGATCTCCTCGAGCGGTGTCGGGAAGTGGTCGGGACCGGCCAGGTCGTCCGTGTCCTGGTTGAGCACCTCGTCCACTTGGTGCACCCACTTGATCACCACGCCCTCGATGGCGCTCTTCAGCTGCGAGTCCGTCATCTCACCTCTGGAACACGATAGTGTCTTGGGTTTGTAAAAATCACTTCAAACGAACAGATTACTCGAAAATGCAAACGTGAAGGTTTTCAAACACAATACCCACGTTTCCAGTGCATGTCTCTCTGCCTTTTCGAGAGCATCCATGCCAAAGGGCAGCGGCAGAAGCGTCTGTCCTCGCAGTTGTCCCCACATGCGATACACAGTACCCCTGAGAGAGTAGAGCTGGCGGGACACGTCCTCTTTGACCATGTCCGGCCATCCCTCTCGGTTGCCGGGGTTCTCCAGCAGAGGGATGAACACCTGGTGTGAGGAATATGTATTTATAACGAGGAATTCGGAGTGTTTCTGTAGATGTCAAGAGAACGCTTTTAGTATAACACAGTATATCAGTAAATCATAAAATAGAACATGATTTACCTCCTCAATGAGCGTGGAGAGCTGGTCCAAAGGCTGCGGTGAAATGTCTCCAAAAATAACATGTTCGCGGACATTGCTGCTGTCCTCCTCGCGGACGAGAGGGACGTCACTCGTTTTGAGATAATAAACTCCCTTTGTTCTCAAGCCTGCTGGAACGTCGCTGGAGGATACTAACTGGTTGGACAAATTTTGGCTTACCAAGACCTGTAGTAAAGGTTTAGAAGTTAGAAGCTACATGGATCCCTTCAGTTCACGTGATTTTACATTTAAGATTCAACGATAGAAAAAGGGAAACAAAATACTATGTTTCGAGCAAAAATGCGTTTTCCTTCAAGAGTATTATATACATCTATATTAGCGGACGAATTTTGATACGAGTTTTGCTAATTTTGTTGATAGAGTGGAAGTATAAAATTTTCTGTAAATATTAAAGTAACGTTGTTGATAAATACCCTATCCTTAGCTACCCAAAATCCCAGAACTTGCAAACAAACTAGTTGAAGTGATCAACATTAACTCACTCATTAACGCAAATACTCACCACCAGCATTCTCATGCAACACTTTTTTTTTGCTTTTTAATAACAAAATTTCTGATCCGAAGAACACATATGATTTTACACCACTATGACTGAAGTTTAAGCCGCTTTCACAAGAAACAAGAGGTGGAGTTTGCCTCTCCTCTTGCAACCAATGCTTTCACCTTTTCCATTCCCATCGGATCACGTATCCCCCTACTTAGCAATCCCTCTTTAGTCCTTAAACTCTGAACTAACAAACAAACAGAACAAAGAAAGTTGATTCACCTGTTCAGCATTGCCGTCGAGGAAATCCAAGATCGTGGACCTCGTCTCTTCATTGTGCATCGCCTTCGTCCAGCGATCAGCCTTCAGCCTCAGGGTCTTGTTGGTATACTCGCCCAGGACGTCCCAGTTCTCGCGTTCTCCTTCCGGTGCCGCCAT